TGCAGGGAACATACCCCTGTTATTTTTTTTCTTTTGGCCGGACTACTATGTTAGTTTATTCGCAGTTTTATTATTGACCTGAATATTATTTTGGATTCTCTTTTGTGGGAGTCTCTGTTTTTGTAGACTCCGTTAAGCAATTGTGCATTTTGTTGGTGCTGCCCGGCAAAGTGGTTAACCCGTACTCTATGTCTGGACAGCATTTAATCATTCCATCTTCTATATGTGGTTATAAGTGTTATTGGTGGATGGGGATAGTATTGATAGATGGTCATTTCGTAAGTCAAACAACTCCATAGGCAATGTGCAGAGATCACTTTGGTATATCTTTGTAGTTGAGTAGGCTTGTGTAAGTTTTATGATGAAGTTCGATCATAGTATTCCCATAACCAGATCCGCTCTCTGTCAATTGGGTAGATGTATCTTCTATGCTCTTGGCAGCAAAGAGACTAGATATCGGTTATATAGTTGTGTAAATTAAAATGCTGACACTTGATCTGAACTCTTGTGCAGGCCAGAAAAGCACCATCAATGGAATCAGTGGATTCTTCTGGAGAAGAAGAGTAAGACATTGTCACGTCTTAGCTTCTCTTTTAATGGCCCTGACTTACCTGGTCAGTTGATTATCAGCTGCTCCTTTACCATTTATCTTATACTTTTCTTGCTTGCAGGCTTGCTATACAGAGACTTGAGATAACGAAAAATGACTTGCGGCAAAGGATAGCTAAGGAGGTAGTTTCACCCTATGAGAGTGTGTTATTTGCATTGTAGATGGTTGAACATTACGATAAGAAATTTCATGTTGACTTTAATAGGCCAGAGGGAATGCAGTATTGCAAGCTAGCTTGGAGAGGAGGAAGCAGGCTCTGCACGAGAGGCGCTTGGCACTCGAACAAGATGTATTTTCTTACTCTTTGATTATGTCTCTGTTTCCTCTAAGGTTTCCGCCCTTTTGTTGGGCAATTAGGTTGGAATTGGAACTCAAAACTGAAACCCTTTAGAATTTAGGTTATAGGAGTCATTGGGTCTTTAAAGGCAGTTTTTCCTTGTCTTGCTCAGATGGCAAGAGTCACCATTTCCTCGAGGGGAATATTCACTGCCATACAACCGTAAAAAATAACACATTTGCTTCTATTGTCCCATACTGGTATTCTTATGCAACTCTATCACTGCCAAAACCTATTCTATAGTGCTGAGTTAATTGCATGTCTCAATTTATTTACATGGTTAGACATGGTTTTAGTGCGTCTATATACAGGCAAGGAAGCTCTCCTATTACATTCTTTTTGGTTTCTGCTGAAAAGTAATCTCTTTTATGCTGTTTACCCGTGTGTGCGTACTTGTGGATGAATATTTAGGTGGCTAGATTGCAAGAACAGCTGCAAGCAGAAAGGGACCTGAGAGCTGCACTTGAAGCTGGTTTGAGCATGTCATCTGGGCAATTTTCCAGTTCCCGTGGCATGGATTCTAAGGTTTGTACTGAATTCGATGGGGCATTTTCCTTCGCAAGTCTATCTTTTTCTTTGTTTCATGGTATGAATTGATGGGCAGACAAGGGCCGAGCTCGAGGAGATTGCTCTTGCAGAAGCAGATGTTGCTAGATTGAAGCAGAAAGTTGCAGAATTGCACCATCAGCTAAATCAGCAGCGCCAGCATCACTATGGATCTCTTTCTGATGCATGTGACCGCTATCAACAAGTGCAGAATTCTCAACAGTAAGTGTGTATAACGATGTTGCCTTTCTTCGAACCAGCTTTTAATCCATTGGTTGGTAGGGTGGAGTACATCGTCCTTAGATATCCAGGTGGCTATTTCAAGTTCTAAGATGTACTCCTCCCATTGACAGCTACTAAGACAATCTAGTGCTTTCCTGTTATCTTGCTTCCATTTTGAGGATTTTGTTGTGGCAAACTTGCTAAGGTGCATTATTTTGAAGATACCTCATAGTGGTATTTGTGTATACGAGTTTTACCATTTGTTTTGTTTGTGCCAACTCTGTGAAAACCTAAAATTACTTATTGGGCAGAAGAATTTAGACAATGTTATCCAGAATAGTTATAAGGAGCAAACCCAACATCGCAGGACTAATAGGAAGATTGGGTTTGTTTCTAGAAAGCTTATTAGTTGCTTCTTTCACTTAGTGAAGGAGAAATCCTTGGGATCTTGGTATTGTTGTCGGGAAATGAGATGAATAGCTAAGATGGAACGCTAGATGTCAGTTTGAAGTCAGTACCTAGTCTAGTGGTGCTCAAGTTAAGATCATTGTAGTAGCAGGGGTACGGAACTCATGATATATTGATCTGCTCTCAACATGTTTGGATCTATGTGTTTGGGTATGCTATTTGATCAGAACATTGCTGCTACAAATAAAATATGGAAGCTATCATACTGAATTTAAAATCTCACTGGATATTTGCAGGAGATTTCCCCCACAAGATTTTGATACTACCCTCGCCTTTTATAATCACGAAAGAAAACAGAGAAGCGAGGTGTGTATTTCAATCTGTCTTGTTAAGTCTGCTCTGTTTTTCATTAGAACAGATATAATTGATAGAACTGCTCGTCCTGCTCATTTTTTTCTAATCTTTCGCTTGATCTTCTCATATCTTTACAACGTTCGTGTATTTAGTCCAGTATGCCCTTTATACTGCTATGCCTTCTACAGTCTAGACTGTTTGAATTATTTTCATGACCTTGGACTGCACACGGGCGAAAGCAGATTTCAGTTATGTTATCATCTTCAAAGTTTTGAATCTGCAGTTATGAAATTGACATTAGTATATTCGGGTGCAAAGGTGCTTTAATCCAGAGACATTTTATGTTGTTACTGAAGGTCAAGATGGTGCTAGCCATAACTCTAGTTAAAGATTGAAAATTTCGAAGTCTTTAACAAGTATCGATAGATTGCACATTGGCAGCATTGTGCATAGTGTACAACTGAATGATTTTAAAAGATGCTGCATCCAAAATGAGACTGAATATTTAATAGCTTAGCACGATGAGGCATGGATGTTTAGTTTAAATACAAAACACCATGAATATTTACTTCGTTTAATCTTTCAATACTATGGTTGATGGTCAGGTCCTGCCTTGGCCTGAGAATTCTTAATCCAGTATGAATGTTCTTTTCCTTTTAGATTTAATCTTCTTCTTGTCTCGATCACATTAATTGTTTCTGGCGATTTATTCGATTCATCTGTAAAACATGGCAAATTATTCAACAGGAGAGTTTGCTTGGGGATTGGAGAAATATCAAAGGTCAAGCATTGGCATCTGCAAGCAGTAGCAGGTTGCCTTCAGGGAAGCAATTTATGGAGTCATCGCCTCTTAGCGATTCGAAAAGTACGGAGGCATCAACAAGTATATCTGTGGATGAGCTCGGGGCTGTTGATTCAGCATCTGTACCCTCTACTTCCAGAATAGCAGAGGTAATACACGGATGTTGGACTGTCAATTCTTCTGTGTCTTACTGTAAATTCAGTAACAGTTGTAAATTTTATTCTCTTTTCTATTTCTTGAAATTTCATTTACTTTATACCATGTTCACCATGTCCTGCATCCTGCTCTGTATACTTTTGAGAATGTTCCTAAACAAGCTCCAATCATCCTGTTTTAAGGTCGACTTTTTCCCAGCTTTCCTCTTAGATATTAGTGTCACATGCAGCATAATTTCCTAAATTTATAGGAACGACTACCGTATTGTTAAAACGTAGTTCCACTCTTTGATTGCAGGGAATGGAATTTCCAAGGCATCCAACGGTGGCATCTTCTGCTTTGGTGGAATTAACGACGCGTCTCGACTTCTTCAAGGAGCGGCGATCTCAGCTAATGGAGCAGCTCCACAGCCTCGATTTAAATTATGGCACGGGTTCTTCGCAAGACTTTGTCTACAGACCGTCATCTCCACCGTGGAGCTGATCGATGAAAAGACGAGGCGGTGCTTAGTAAACCGCGACAGAAGAATGCCCGTTGCCTTGTACATTCGTCGGTGCTCTTGCAAATATAGTCTCTGCCCCCTCCTCTGTTCTGCCATTTCTGTTAATAACTATTATTTGATGTTCGAAAGGATGTTCACCCTAGTGGAAATGAGATTTGGGCTTCTGGGTAGCGTTCATTTTTTTTTGTTCCTTTTTTGTATTGTTTGATTCTTGTTTATTTGTAATCTTTTCCCTTATCTTAACCGAGTTTGGAGCTACTGTCGAACAGACCTTGCCGTAGAGTGAAAGCTTGTGTTTTTGTAGACGTGTCTGACATAATGTATCAGTGTCCAAAGTTTCCCGATTTGTATTCTTGTATCCATCCGTTTGGTGAATACCACTCGTCCTTGGATAGATCTCTCACGTACGGGAGTTTACCTTTCCGGCAACAGGGTCGAATTTGGTCGCAATGATCGTGCGTGATCTCTAGCATCTCGGTAGAGCAATCGTGACCGGGTTCAGTGGAGGGTAAACGCCTTTTATCTAGCGAATTACCGTTTCTAGCCGAGAAAAGAGTACGCAACAATTGATGCCAAACGCGCCGTGTCCATAATTTTAAACCCGAGTACTTTTGTAACGGGTCTAAGCATCACGCCGTAACGGTCGCGGCTAAAAGGAGTGGCCACGCTGATCGCGCATCCTCGCCCCCTGATTTAGCCAAAAAGAAAAGTTACAAGTGAGACCACTTCATATACAATTGACAAAATTTGAACTGACAAATTGAAGACAAATCGTCACTGCTGTGATGGCATCCCACTATGTTTTGATCGAGGCCAAATTATACACGAGGAACACGTCAGGATCTTGTCCTCTAGTCAACCCTGTTCACTTCTCAAACAAAAAAACAGAAAAGAAAGAAGAAAAAGAAAGAAGTCGGACCATAAATAAAGGTGCAGCTTTTTTTGTTAACCAAAAAACACACAAAAGGAATAAGAAATTCCGGTGACGTGGACCCGGTGGTGGTCCAATCCCCCAATCCAGCGCAATCCTTCTTATTGGATTTCTCGGATTGCAGAGTCGGCACGCGCACCAGCCATCCTCTTCCTTCTTCTTCTTGAAGTCCACTCTTTCTCTCTCTCCTCCTGAGCATTCTCTGCTGCGCTTCGCGTGCGATGCCCTGCTCCCGCTCCGTCACCGGCGCCGGAATTCTCCGAGCTCGTCGTCGCCGTCGTCATCGTCATCGCGCCTCGAGCTCTCGTCGTCGTCGTCCCGTCTCGTCTCCCGCCGTTTCCTCGCAGAACGAGTAAGCCCCACCCCCCCCCTCCATCCGCTCCGCTCTGCTACCTCCCGTCGTTCCTCCTCCTTTTTGCTTTGGATAGTTGGATGGACCCCGAAGCCTTCGAGCTTCCTTGTTTTCACTTTTCCTCTCTCTCCCTCCACGTCGTGGCGTGCGGGACTCGCCGAATAGGGCCTCAATTTTTACCATTCGATCGCGTGCGAATTCCCGCGTCCTTTCGATGAACCCGACGCGTGAGGTGGCTGGAGGTGTCTTCAGGAGAGCGGGCGGCCCCGTTCTGTTTCTGGGAACGCCCGCGGGTGATCGTGCGGTTACAGTTCGGGGAATTACTTTTTGTCGCGTGATCGACTGCTCTCCGATTCTCGCTCTTGTCCCTGTTGGCCTCTCTTATTTCTGCCATCGTTATCGTGAAGCGGTAGTTGGTCGCCGGTGAATCGTGTGATTCTTCGCGGTTTTTAGGTTGTAGCTGCGGCGAATGAGGCTCGTGGTTTCGGGAGTGATCTTTTCAGGGTTTGTCTGTGTTTAAGGATTTTGTTGGCAACTAGGACGATGCACTGTGGTTTCTCTCTTTCGTTGAAAATCGAGACTCGGGTGTCTGTGACAATGAATTTTCCATCTACTGGTGCTTGACCTCTGTTTCCTTGCATGCTTTTTGCTGACTTTCTCCCGTGCGATTTACAGGCGGGTCTACAGACGGTCGATGCTGTGATTCCGTGGTTTTGATGTGAATTTTCCGCGGTAGTTTTTCGGTTCATCGGCAATGAACTTCGAGCTTCTCAACCATGTTCCGTGGTTCGGCAGGGCCCATCCGGAAAAGGATTTGGGGTCGACCTTTGGATCTACCACCACGGTCTTAACAGAGCAACCTAAACAGAAGGGTGGTTTCAATCTCAAGTTGTGTGGTTGGTCCATCCTTTCTGTTCTTCCATGGGCTCTTGGTTCCGAAGATGGAACAAGAATGCCTCCTACTGTGAATAGGCAGTTGAAAAGGCGTGCTCAATCTGGTGGGACAGTTCAAAACAGCAGTAAGGTCATGGCTGTCCGCTTCCGGCCCTATGTTTCGAAAGTTCCATGGCATACAGGGCCGAGAGCGTTCCTCTCTCAGCTATTCCCAAGATACGGGCATTATTGCGGCCCTAACTGGTCAAGTGGAAAGGATGGCGGGTCTCCTCTATGGGACCAGAGGCCAATTGATTGGTTGGATTATTGCTGCTACTGCCATGATATCGGTTATGACACCCATGATCAGGCGAAGCTTTTGGAGGCTGATTTAGCATTTCTCGAGTGCTTGGAAAAGCCACACTACAGAACAAAAGGAAATGCCCATGTTGCGCATTTCTATAAGACGATGTGCATCACAGGTATGCATCTTGCCTCGTTGACCTCTGCAGTCGAGTCAAGTTTTTGCGGAGATTGTATATGCAATGGCAATTAGGTTCCTTTGTACACCATGAGAAGTGAAATTTTTATGGAAAGCTTTATGCTTCAGAGTATTTTGTTCGATACTGAGCTTTTGTTACTTCATGGCTTGATGTATGTTAACTGGTCTACTCTGGGATTGGCAGGTCTCAAGAACTTCTTAATTCCGTACAGAGCACATCTTGTGAAGCTAAAGTCGAGGCAACCTCTAATTGATTTTGGTTGGCTGAGCAACGTGAGATGGAGAAGTGGGAATATTCAGAAAAACGGAAATGAGTAAGAGTTGTGTGGCTTGACAAGCGGGATTTGTATGTTATCGCTTAGTTGACTAGCTTGGTAATTTAGCCCTGGATCTTAGATGGTATGGTTCTTTAGTTTGTCTTTTGTTCTTGTACTGAAGCTTCTCCGAGCCACACCTTTTATAGGCTATGGATCACAAGTGGCTACATAAACATGTATTGTTTACTTTTCCACTTTCTTAATTGCGCATGCTTTGTACATAAACATCATTCGTGCCGCTGCCCCTCTGTTGCCACATTCTGGAATCTGAACACAACCGGTTGAGCTTGTGCACTAAGGCTGAGATGTGGCATTTAGCCAAATTATTGTTTACTGTACAGATTTTTCATATTGTTCTCTGTCATCACGGCTTCATATTTGACTTTTTCTAGCTGTAACACAGGTATGTGGATAAATTTGGCTGACTATTGAGAACTGAATTAGAACACTATAGTATTTGTTCAGTACTTCTAATAGACCATGCTTATTCTTCTTCATAGCTCTGAATAATAGATCTGGGCATGTTTTGAGGACTATGCAATGCTCTTAAAAACGGCCTTTGTCATACTGAGAATGTCTAGAGACCATTTCAAATCGACAGGTTCGGTTAACAATGTTCATCCATTTTAGTCAACTTCTTTCATTTTGTCTCGAATTTCCTTCCGAGGATGATTGTTTTCTGCCTAAAGAATTTGTAGTTTTTCTTGTTGAATGGCCGAACCTCCAGCGACTTTGATAGTGGTTGCACTTTCTTGCTGTTCTGCATTGCTTTAACTGAATGCAGTGGCCTTTGCTGCGATTCTCACTGCTCACTTTGGGTTCTGGGTGGACTTCAACTTTAGGACAGTCACAAGGGTTTGATCGATCAGCTTATTAAGAAGGACCACGATCGCAGTGAACCCGACAGAATCAGTCAATTAGGTGATTGATATCTTTGTTGAGTTCAGCAAAAATCGTGAATCCAATCTGACGGTAACCGTGGGAAGCTCGAATTATGGGTGCCGGATTGGACAACCCCCTTGCATTCATGACAAATTCGCATCACCGTATCTTTTCCGGCTTCGAGTAATTACAAAAGCAGTTGTGTTACCTTCTTTACATTGAATACATTCTCTATTTGAACCCGGCACACCCAATACTGACTAGAGAGCTCCTTTTGTTTTGTTTTTTCTCTCTTTGATTGGAGAGACTAGAGACTTAAGAGAATGGACCATCTGCTAAGTTGAAACTTACCGGTCAATATGTCATCCTGCTTTCTCTCTGTAGTTATCACCATGCGTGCCGCTCTCTCGACGCCTTTGTGTGAACCTTTCCAAAAAGTGACATGACAGGGGAGTCTTCGCTTGGGAGGAATTCCACCATAAAAGCATCACAAGATCCTGGTTACTACTCACTAGGTCCCCCACATGCGTACAAAGAGTCAGCAAAAGCAAAGAAGCCTGAGCCAAAGCTTTGTTTTGAGCGAGCCATTGGTTGGGTAAGGTGCTGAAGCGGATCTCGGTTCTTTACATGTGTTTGAGTTCCAATGCCCCCGTGCATTTTTATAAGGTAAGGTTGGATCCAATGTGTGTATCGATCCAATCGGTACCCGTGTGGGAGAACGGAAAGGAGGAGAGGAGAGGAGAGGCGAGGGACATTGAAGCCTGAACGGATACGGGTCGGCGCATCGATGCGTCTTAGTTTATTTTGAAGCCTGGATGTAGCGAGTAGCGAGCGTGCGTGGGAACAAGTTGGGTAGAAGGTCCGTGCAAGTGGACTGTATTGGGAAGCTCCACACGAAAAACGAGAGGGAAAGTATTCTAGTGGTGATCAATTGAGGATTGATTTTGTTTAAAGATTTTCGAGACACGGGGGTTGGGGGTATTGTAATAGTCCTTTTGCCCGATTTCTACCTGGAAAACAAGAAGGAGAGGAGAGAATGCTTCCCCGTCCCTCGGTGCTACTGCTATCAGCTATGCCTCATCAATTTCTCTAGAGTCCCTTTGCCTAGAATCACATGGCACGATCCCGACATTGCCTCTCCTGGGTCGCGCGACCTTCTGTGAGGGCGGTGGCTATTGCTTTGTTGCTGGAGCCGAGGGTCATTGTTGGTGTTGTTTGTCCGAGTGGCACGAGGGGTTTGCAATTTTTGTTTTCCTTTTTAAAACTGAAGTCCTTTGTGTAAATATTTCGTTAAATCCATTTAACCCTAAGGCCTTTATATTTTACGAAAAGATGTTTTTGACAAATGCTCTTTCTCATGCACCCATAATAAGACCCGTATTTGACTTTTTCTGTCTATTCTTTAAATCTTTCTTGTGTGCAGGAGTAGCCTTGACTATTAGTACATCGATTTTCTTCAACTTCAGGGACATGAACCTCATGAATCCTGTGATGAACAATACACTAACTTAGCACTATGGCTCCATTCATAGTTTTAATAAGCTGAGCTAATAGCACGTGTCGACCGATACACCTCTAGGGGAAAAAAAAGTACTTCACTTTAGAAATAATGGGTGGATCGAGTTGCAATATTATATGATGTCGAGATAAACCTTATAAATAAAAAAAAAAGATCTAATGAGATCTGATCCGAAGAACATTCCCCCCTCAGAGCCTCGCGAATCAAAATTTAATGTTATAAAACGAGTGCACCGATTATTCAAACCCTTGCTCCTTGTAGGCTCAACTTCGATGAGGGAGTCCAACAGTTGGACTCCAACGGAGTTCCGTCGGGGCGCATGTGGTAAATAGGGATGTGCAAGAGAAACCGCCCAAATCGGACGGAACTGGCTGATTTTGGGTGGTTCCCAAGGGCACCGGTCCCATTCACAATTCAAAAAAATTGGAATTGGTGATTTTCGGTCGGGCTGCCGGTTCCACACATGGAACCATCCACCCGAACCAGATCTATTTTTTTTTTTAAATTTCTTCCGTATTAATGCTTTTATAGGGGATTGCGTCTTGTCTATGTCTATCGGTTTTGTCACTTTCCTTTATCTATGAGCTCGTTGCAAAGCATCGAGATCAATTTTGAACAAAACCAGATCGTTTTAATAGCCCTGGTAATGAGCCCGTACCCCTTTTCCGTTAACCCATACGAATCCTCGTGAAGGGTTTAACATCCTTTTCATAAAGAATCTACATGCTCAAAGAAAAAATAAAACATGACATCAGTTTTATTGGCTCGACTTCCGGTTCGGTTTTCGATTCTTGGATAAAATCGGACAACCCAAGAACCGATCATCCCTAATGTTAAATTTATATCTCGAGTCTGAGGCCGCTTAAGAAATTCACTTCCCTGTTTAGTTGATTTCGGATGCAGGGGTACACGGTTATTGGCTGAGCATAAATAGAGAAATAAAGAAGGCCACTAAAAGACAAAATTGAGGCACACTTTCTTTTAGAGGGGCAGAAAGGACATTGACCAAGAAAGAAACAAGAAAGGGAAAAATTATTTAAAAAGTCCTAAATCTATTGCACTTTTGCCAATTCGCTCCTAAATCTTTTAAGTTTGCTAATTCAGTCCTAAACCTTTTCACTTCTTGCCAATTGAGTCTATTTAGCCGATCGGCGCTAACGTGGCCGTCGGCCGGCACTGACGTGGCCATTCGGTGCTGACGTGGCCGCCGGGCGACGCTGACGTGGCAATTTTTAAAAAAAAAATTCCAAATTTTTTCTTTTTTTTTTTCAGCCTTTTCCCTCTGGCTGGTTCGGCGACCGGTCAGAGGCGCGGCCTTTGGCAAAGCTCACCCCTGCCAGCCACCGGCGTGGGCGAGGCCGACCTCGCCGTCACTGGGCGAGTGAAACCCAGGAACGGTGAGGTCGGCCTTGCCATGGCTAGGCGAGGCCGGCCTCGCAACGGTGGGCGAGGCTCGCCGTCACTGGTGGCCGGCGGGGGCGAGCTTCGCCAGAGGCCAATGAGGTCGACCTCGCCGGCCCGCACCTCTGGCCAGTTGCTAGACCAGCCAGAGGGAATAGGCAGAAAAAAAAAGAAAAAAAAATTTAAAAATTGCCACGTCAGCGTTGGCCGGACGGTCGGCGGCCACGTCAACGTCGGCCGGCCAAATGGAATAAATTGGCAAGAAGTGAAAATGTTTAGAACTGAATTGACAAACTTAAAATGTTTAGGACTGAATTGGTAAAAGTGCAATGGGTTTATGATTTTTTGACAATTTTCCCAACAAGCAAGGGTTATTTGCTTTTGTTTCTATCTCCTGCAGAAGCCGTAAAAAGTGGCTTACGAAAAGAGGACTCTGCCATATAATTTATTCATTGAATAGCCACACAATCCGAGAGCCGCGCCAAGTCGCACAGCGCTGAAGACGAGCTGCGCAAAGAAGAAAGGAAAAGAACGTCGCAAGGCACGTTCATGTTACGAGTCGCACGTGAGCATTTTACTTTGGGCTTGAACACGCAGTGATTTGTGTAGTGAGTTTGTTTCGTGTTTGATTATTCATAAACACTTTGGGTTTGGATTTGAATCTAAGTATAGAAAACATTCGTGCGTTTGAGCGAATTATAATTCTGAATTTTCGATTATAGTAAATTATTTATTGCTGGCTCTTCCGTGAAAATAAATATCGATATTCGGATTGAATCACGTAAATTTTTAATATTTTTTATCGTTCATCGTTTATTTTTCTAATTTTTTCGTATTGATTTGATTCGTAAGATTACGTCATTTTCACGTTATATTCCCACACCTAATATAAATAAATGAATGCGAGGGTTGTGTGAGAGAGATGGTTGGTTCGAGGAAAGGGATGATGATAGTCCCATTAATGAATACAGGGAAGGGTCTCGTCAAAGCTGAGGAGAGGAGGGCCTGATGAGATGATCTGCAAAAGTGTCTGTGCTTTGCTTTGGACATCCCAAATCGAGCCCTTCCCGAGGCTTAATTACTCACCGCTTCGTCCGATGTCGAGTCCTCATTACTTTTCCTCCCTCGACTTTTACCTTGGTGGACGGATTCGAGAAGTGACCGAAGAACGAACAACAGGTCCAGGACAGAACCGGAAAAGAACAGGAAAGACAACCACCACACGTTCAAACGGAAGGGGAGTCGAGAATGTCCAATTCAAAAAGAGATTAGAAAAGACAACAACCAGTTCACAGGTTTCACGTCGCAGAGCACGCGATGGTCGCGCCTGGGGGAAGAGAGAAGAAAATCATCATGTGCAGGTCCATCATAACCCAAACAGTATCACGCGAACCCTACATACATTCCCAGACACAACCCATCCATATATCTTCTTATGTTTTGCGAAGGAGCTCCGTGTGTCGGTGCATATGCTCGGTTGCTTTTCCTGTTTTCGCGTGTGTAAAACAAAATGCAGGAACGGTATTACTTTATTCGCTTGCTAATCATCAATTTTTTAACCTAGAACTGCTTGCATCCTGTGCATGCTTTTTTCGTTGGGGAGATCACTGCTCGGATGGTGATGTGGAGATGGGAAGAGACATGACAAGTTTTTAAGGAAAAGACATCGTTCGAAAGAAAACTGCTTCTACAGTTCTAGTCGTTCAATACACTACAAAAATCCCCAAACTAAAAAACAAAGAACAAATCATAGTTTACAAGTAACGTTTTCTTCCAAATTGAGCTTTGAAATTTTGCACTATGTTTCTCTTTCGCTCAATAAGGAGGACGAGAGGCAGCATTCGCTGCACCACCCCAAGGCATTAACTCGGGAGACGTCGCCTGACCACTCAAACCCCCTCCTCCGCAGTAGAAGCCGCCGGCCGCGGCGGCGGAACTAGGGCAAGAAGGAGGGTCGCTTCCCCCGCCGCCGCCGCGGCCGCCGCCAATACAAGGCTTGGTCTCCTGATGATCGCCACCTTCAGATGGAAACCTGTGGAAGCTGGGGCTCACGAACGTCGCCGCCGCGACCACCACGGGCGTCGCTGCCACCACCTTCCCTCCCACCACCCCTCCGAACACCTGCCCTTGAGCCCCCGCGAGAGTTATCCCAAAATGGCTCCAGCCCTCCTGACGACACAGCTGTTTCGCGGGTCTGTCATTCTTGGACTCGTTATTGTCGTTCCAGTCGTTAATGCAACCGCCCAGGACAGACCCGCTCAGGGAGAGGAGGTTGAAGGGCCCGCGGAGGGACAGCGGCGGCGCGTGGGGCAGGGGGTGGCGGAGCGTGACTTCCGAGACGGAGCCGGATCCGCTGAGGACGGCGAGGCCCATGCGCCGCCTGAGCGCGAAGGACGTGAGGGCGCCGACGACGTCGGAGCCGGCGGAGATCTCGAGGACGACGGGTCTCATGGCGGAGGAGGAGGAGGAGGAGCAGCCGGAGGAGCCTTGGGCGGCGACGACGACGACGGGTGGTTTGGGCTTGTTCTTGGACCCGGGTGGCCTTCCTCGCGGCTTCTTCTTGGTGGCGGTCGATGATCCGAGCTCGTGGGTGATGGCAGCCTTCTCGGGGGTGGCGGCGGCTGCGGCTGCGGCGGCGGGTGGAGGGAGGGCGAGAGGAGTGAGGCGGTGGCCGGAGGCGTCGTCCTCGTCCTCGTCGGAGGAGTGGGGGTGCGAGAGGGAGAGGGCGGCGGTGTTGCCGCGGCCCGCCATGGTGTAGGGCGGCGGCGGTCTTCAGGAGAGAGAGAGAGAGAGTGTGTCAGTTCGAGGGAGAGCGAGAGGGTGTGGACTGTGGAGTCTTTCGCGCTCTTTGAGGGTCAACTCTATATAGTCACGAGGCGGTATGATGGACACTTGTTCTTATGGGATTAGGGTGTCTAAACGACGTCCACGAGGTGAAAAATGAAATGTGTGCAAAATTAAAAATAAAATAAAAGAGATGAATTTGATCTTCCTCGGATCTCGAATGGTAGATTATAATTGAATATGTACATTTTGAAGTCGCCAAAACTTTGTTAATTGGATATTTGAACTTTTATCATATGCCATTTTATCTTTAGGTATCCGTTATGATAAATATTCGATAATAAAGGGGTTGTCAATGAGTATTCAAAACCGGGGGTGATCGGTTTAGAGGCGGTTCGGTTCTAACCCAGGAATCGGAAACCGAACCAGAGGGACCAGTTCCTAGTTTATGAAACTGGGAATCGGACCGAAGCCTCCAGAAACCGGACCGACCAGGTGGGCCAATGGAACCGATTTCATGTTTTGTTTTGTTTTTTCTTTCTTGATTTGTTGGTACATTGCAGCCAATGGAAGTTTCGACACTTTCGTCTCATGGCCGAGCTCTTCTTGTTGCACACTCTTATCTCTCCGTCTCTCCTTCTCTCTCTGAAGCATGGGGCTTTTTGAAGCTCTGGCGCCATTTATTAGTCCAATGGCAATGCCCTCAAATCAAGAATAGACGGAGCTGGGAGCTGCTGTTGCTTCTTGTGATCGAGGATCACGCGAGGAATGGAATTGCACGGTCTCCATTAAGAAGCTTTTAAGGTTAGGGTTTTGCTGGTTTCCTTTCTCAGGCAATCGAATAGCTTCTTCACGGGAACATTCCGAGGCACACATCGTCAGTACACTGATTTGTGGCAACAGCTTTCTTAGTTTGCCCTCTCTGGCTGCTGAATTTTAGCGAGAGGGAGGCGAGAGTCGAGCGAGAGGGAGGCGAGTCGTGCGTTGGGAGGCGATTAGGGTTTTAAACTTTCTTTACAAATTTTTAAGAAACAAAATAAAATAAAAAAACAATCCGGTTCGGATGGTTAGGGTGGGTGGATTCCACACATGAAATCGGAAATCGGACTGAAAATCATCGGGTCCAATTCTTTATAACCGAGAACTGAATAGGTATTCCCGGGAACCACCCAGAACCAGTCGGTCCGGTTCAATCCGAGTGGTTCTCAATCCAGGCGATTGCTTTTGCTCACTCATAATTGAGACACTCCTTGTCAAGTGGATTTTAATTTAAATAAATTAATATTTAAAACATTGATTTTTTAATATACGAAGGCAATAGATGTAATGAAAAGTATAAGATTTTCTTAATTGTATACTTAACAAGTGTCTTTAAGACACTCATTAACAAAATCCTCTATACATGAAATGTGCATTTTTACACCTACTGATTGTTTTTAAATAATTATGATAAAGTAGTCTAATAAACCTATTTTAGTATATCTAGCATTATTTATTTTTTCATAAGCAACAGTTTTTGACATATGCAGAAATATAAAAAATTGTGACACTAAGGGTGTGTTCGTTTCGCGAAAAATGAGTGATTTGGAAAATATTTTCTGAAAAATGATTGCTTATATTGTTTAGAAAAATTAGTCAATAGACAATAGTTTCATTATCGATTATAATATATGCCTAATTATTTTCGTGGACAATGAAAAAAAATTTCAATTATTTATTTTTGTAAGCAATACTATTGATTATTTTTTGAAAAATATTTTTCAAATTACTTATTTTCCTCAAAATGAACGTATCTAGATGGGGAGCAAGAGCAATAATCTACATTGGTCGCTCTCATGACAAACCATGACAAAACATCTCACAGTTGCAATACCTTAAAAGCGATAGCTTTTATCTATTTTTTGACCTCAATTCCACACTTTGCTACTTTTCACCCAACCCAAAAATAACTTTTACCGTTGGGAATTATATTCAACGAAGTGGATTAAAATAGTGAAGAAGTGATAAGGTATGTTGAGGATTTTTTAATTTGTTTCGATTTTTCTTTTTCTAATTATACACTTTACTTATTACATTCTTAGTTATAAATGTAATATTGAATATTTTTCTGTTTATTAAAATAATATATTACATGAATTTGAGTAGCATAAAGGTTATCTTACCTCTTGATCGGGATTTCATAAAGATTGAATTACTTTCTTGTATTGCACTCTTTAATTAATGTGTTTTTACTCTTACTGTTTCTAACGTAAAGTTTCTATTCCGACACATATTGCAACCAAATATTTTCAATTACGACGGAGTAGGGAATATGAATTGCATTTTCTTTTTATCCTTTTATTTTAATTATGGAAAGTGTAGAATCGGTGATCTTCTTCTTCTTCTTTTTGGTGATTTTCTCGCCAAATAATAGAGTCCAAATAATAACGAGATAAAAAATGATTAACGTGGATGATTGATGTAGCAAATAGATTGTCACATAAAACTTTAGTTTTAATCATACCTACGTCTTCCTCCTTTTTTATATTGGGCATATTACTCGTTTCACTTTTTGCACAATAAAAAAAAAGCCACTCTATACCAATTTTCTATTATTTTGATATTTTGCCTTATCTAAATTCAACCACTTCTGATGCTTTCTCGCGGACTTTACGATAAATTTGTTCATTTCCTATGATTGTATAGCATACCTTATAATTCGGCTTTGTATATTGTGAATACAATTCAATAATATGATTGATTACAAGTCATTTTGCACTGGTTCGTGAATCTTAACCAATGAAAGACGACTCTTTTTTAATAAATTGTTTTTCATACATGGTTCGGACAGTTTTATTATTAACTTGGAACGTTAACAATATCAAGATAAAAATTGCTCACGAGTACAAATTTTGCATGGTGGGCTACTCTTTCGCTTGATCTAAATTATATAAATATAAGACGCTTGACAGATTTGCCTTTCTCTAGACAAATGATTCGATTTTTTTACAATAGTAAGATCATTGGACTTCCTTTATATAACTAATGCATCGCGTGCATCACACGTGGTAATATTACAGTTTTTCGATATATACAATGCTGCTGAATATCTCGAGACACTTAAAAAGGACAATAATGTAGTGGTTTTTTTTTAACACACATGCCTTTATACCATGCATATAATTTTAAAGGATGCATCATAAAGCCTTTGAAGTGCTACATTTTCCTCGAACACCCATCGAGAGCGGGGATTATATCAATATACTCGTGTAGTTGGTGATTTCATCTCAATTGACCCCTTATCACACCGGCGGCACAAATCTTTACCACGTCCCATGCTTTACCAAGATCTCCTTGAAGTTGATGACTCCGTCGTCGTCGTCTAGGAAAGAGTCGCGCCGTCCGTGAGACGAAGGTCAATTGAGATGAAGTTGTGGACTTCATTGGGTACTTTGAAACAAACCCTAATTTCTCCCGCATTTTTCGAAGGTCTTGTTTGAAATTATTTCTAATATTCGATTGTGAACGCCATATGTAAGCTTTTGATGCGTTGTTAAAAGATGTTCAATTTTAAAATATATGAATAATAATTAATATGTTGAGAAAGATATAGTGTTTTTTATTTTATTTTATTTTCTTTTAATGGTCATTGCACAAGATTTTCACCTACACGGATCCTGGCTCAAATTCAAAAGTACAAACAAAGCATGTTTAGCTTCTCGACTTGATCAAAATTAAATGGGCGAATATGTCCAATATCCAATAAAAAAAGATTTCTTCTTCTTCCCCAATTTTTTTTCTTACAATTTTTCGAAAACTAAAAGTGATGACGTGTACTTTGGCGGGCACATGAAGCAAAGCCTATGGCTAAAGCCTAGCCTAGCCTGGGCGTCTAGGCTCTAGCAAAACACAGCCCTGAGTGGCCAAATTTAAAAGGCGCGGGACCGGGGCCCACCCACCTTCCCTGGTGTTTACCGGTCAACGGAAATTAGTTTTCTTAATAACATTAAATTTTACATAAAATTTCAATTCTATTCCGCACTCTTTTCTATAAGAAAATCTGTAACTTTCTCTCTAGTATATCCATAAGAACTCGCGTCGTGTTGATAATATTGTAAAATGCCAGTGACAATTTTTGGACGCGTGAACAGATTTGAAATTTAGAGTGAAAGTTGAGAATTTTGTTAGATAAATAAAAAGTTCGGATCATACTTGAAAAATTCGTAAATTCAAGACAAAATGAAAATCAATCCCACTTCAAATTTCATAAAACAAGCTATATTCAATTAAAAATGGTAAAAGTAATTACAAAAAAATTGATAGTTTTGCAATATGATCCCGGTTGGTTTAGGTTCCGAGAAGGTCGAAACCAAACAAAACTACCAAAAAGGGTTTGGCTTAATTTGTGAGCCATTTATTTCAAAAAAACAAAAAGTACCATGGATTCAATTCGGTTCGGTTTGAAGGGACGTATCGAGAACCAAAACAGAACGATCACGCAGAAAACAGAGAAAATAGACGATGCACGAATTTACCCAGGTTCACCCTCGATTAGGGTTACGTCCTGCAAAGAGATTTCACTATATTTTTAGGTTTACAGCCACTCAACTCGTTACAATGATCAGAAAAACGAGTAAAATATATATATGCCCCAAACGGGCCTAAAACCTAAACCTATATGAAATCTCTTAATCTCGCACCATACGGGCCAGCCCAAATCCGTTGAGGTTTGAGGCGCCGCCCCGAGCCCCGTCGGGCGCGCCCCCGAACCCCGCCCGCTGGCCGAAGGCAATGGGCACTTCCGTGTCGGGGGCGCTGCCCTCGAACCCCCGCATTCCGCACGCATGGGTCACGTGTCGTCGGACAACTCTTCAGTTTCCCTAAGCTCACGTGGGCGTACCCGGTGTGAGAAACAAGGGTCCCCGAAGTATTCGCCAACTCCAACATTCTCCCGCTTGGTGGATACTTCGTGCAAATGAGGGCCTTTC